TCAAGCAATGTATCAAAGAATGACTTCATTTTATAAAGGGTTTTTTTCCTCATAGAAGATTGATTCATAAGATTGTTTTATACTATTGTGGACTCCTTTATTGCATTCAAAGTGTCACTTGATTCCCATAGATATTCTCTAAGTACAATCCTTCGTGAACATGGCACAATCAGGGCTAAGACTCCTTTCCATCACTGCCTCACTCCCTGAAAATCTTGACTCTACTGGCCTTTTCATATCATCTGCTGTACTCTTACTTTTATTTGATGTGATTTGGTGAAGGTAGACAGGACATACTGCAAAGGGCAAAAACTCCAAGACCAAGCAAAGATTTGTTACAATGGAAAGAGCGGGAGACTAAAAGGCAGAAGGCTGAGTTGCTGTCAACCACGAGATCTGAGGCAAACAATAGCCACCTTAATGCCAGATTTTTAGTATATAAAAGAAAGCTAATACTGCCTGGAAGTACCTACTCCTAAGCATGCTTATAACAATCTAATGCAAAGTTGCTTTCTAAATAAAAGGACTTAGGGTAATGTATCCTTTTTTGCAAGGAAATTTAATACCACTGCACCAGGATATGTCATCTCAATCTACCTTTTTCTTTGTTAGCAACTACCATAGAATTTGCTAAATGTTCTGGAAAATTCCTCCTAATCATTATCCTTTTCATTTTTATCTCATTCTCTTTCTGTTAGCCTTTACTTAGTTCAAAGTTTCCCAATGCTTTTTTGACAAAATAAGATGTGAGCTCTCTGCCCAGAACCCACTCCTCTGAACAGTCCCGGTTGTCTCTTCCTGAAAAATTAAGTAAGATGAGAAATCAAAGCTTGTGAGTGTTACCATTAGCAAACTACAGTTATTTAGAAGCGTCAGCTCAGTTTTCGTCCCTGTATTCCACCTCTACCTATACTTCACTGATCACCGCTTTCTGCTACACTCTGGACATTTCCTTATCTTTGTCCTCTGATCCACTTCCATCTGTGTTCCTTTATTTCAGTTTCTCTCCATGGTTTATAATAACCCTTCAAAAAAAATATAATAACCCTTCATTGTTTGTCTCCAAACCTTCTTCCTTCTCTGACATTTACATACGGATCACAGTTCTAAGAATTCCCATGAAACATGATGTAATGTTCATTAATTAGCCAAGTCTAATGTGCTTCTACTTCTTCTGAAGTGACCTAGGAAATGGACTGAGGACCTATTGTAATGTTTGGCAGGAGTCTCCACTGTGTGACACTACAGCTCAGTTACAGGCAAACCTATGTCCTGGGCATCTCCACCTGAAGGTTCCCAGGTTGCTTCTACTTGCTGTGTTTCTCCTAAAACTCCTTCCTTGTCTTGTATTTATCTCATTAATGGCATCTCCATTTGCCCTGTTCAGCAATCCCAAAACCTCAGAAGTATTTTCAACTTCTCCCATATCCAATTACTCATTAAATCCTGCCCTATTTTCTGAAACTATCTCAAACTTACTCTTATTCTGTTGCATCTGAACTACGGCAACAGCATTCTCATTTTCCTCCGGTCTCCTGGGCCTTCCCTCTCCAGTTCCTCCAAAACATTATTGCTGGAGCTATTATCCAAAGAAAATCCAATTACATGTTCCTTTGCTTATAATTCAGCTTTAAAATGCTTTATAAAAAAAAAAAAAAGAAGGAAAGAAAGAAAGAAAAAGAAAAAACTACTCAGGCTGTGATAAAGTATAATAACTGGCATTTGAGGACCTTTGCTGCCTGGCCCCATCTGACAAGACCTGTCTTCTACAGTTCCACAGGATCTCCATCTGTCCCTAAGACTACCATGTCTACACTCACCTACTTTGCCTAGTACCCCCTGTAGTTTTCTCATGGATGCCCTTCTCTACCCTCTTGACCTTTAGAGCTCAAAGCACAGTTGAAATTCACCTGCTCTGTCAAGATGTCCTAAAGTCCAGCCACACCTCTGTCCTGGGAGTGAGTGGCTCCTACTCCCACATTGTACCCTGCGACGTAATTATTTGTGATGGTCACTCTCTTCCTTAAACTCAGTATCCCAATCTTTATTATTTAACTGAAGAAATGGTTATTGAAAATAATATTTGATGAATAAAATAATAACTAAAGAAAATTCCAGAATTCCACCAACTCCTACTCCTTTGCTGCCTTAAAGGAAGGAGCCCAGGAATAAAGAGAAAGGACTAACAATCTGTGTGTAGCAAACACATGAGTGGGTTGTTTTTTAAAGTTAAGTGGTTTAGGGAGGGTAGGGGGAGAAGGAAGTACATTTTAAAGCTCTAGCTCCGGGGCAAGTAATAAAAATTATTGTGTTAATGTTTGAGGGCTTTTTTTTTTCCTTTCTGGCCTTTTCTCCCCATAATATTGTGAGCAATGGGAAAGTCTATTCTATCACAGCAGCCTTCAGGGCAAAAAGTTTCTGGGTCCTGAGCTAAATCAAACTGGCATCAACTCAGTTTTTCAGGGAACCACAATTGGTCTCTGCCTTCCACATGGCTAAATCTGGCTGACAAAAAAGAAACAAAACAATTTTCCACTTATTTTATAGGTTTCTCTTATCCTCTTCTGCTCTCGTCAATTAGGTATAAGGGTCCTGGAAACCCATCATGCATTCTTATCCCTGGATTACTGGGATGTAGACATTGTACTTTGTCACCACCACGAGCTTCCTTATAAAAGAAGCAGGCTGGCAGGCAGCACCTCACCAAGGACACAAAGCCAGTATAAGAAACAAGGGTGCTTAGAACTCATGGTTCAAATCCCTTTTACAATGCCATTCACTGATCACAGCTCTCAACGTCACCCATTTCATAGTCTCTAAACTGGCAAGACCTAACACATTTAAAATTAGGATGTATGAACAACTAGTCAGAGAATCAGTCTACTAGAATCCCAGTGAAATTCAATAATATTTTAAATGACAAAACAGCCAACTCCTCTGTAATTCAGTCTTAATCTTTGCACTCCTGGGTTCTCATTCTAAATGCATTTGCCCTCAGTGCCCCAGAATTTGTATATATATCCTGGAATGCACAGACACCACAGTTCTTCAACAGCACACAAGCTTTACTAGCAGAGATTGTGTTTCTGGGAGAATCCCTGCCTCTACCTGCTTGTGTTTTGAGTCCTGACTTTTCATTTACCAAGCACTGTTTCTATTTAAGAAAGTCAAATGAGGATTACAACAGACCTACATCTTAGAGTTATAGTGACAATTAAATGGGACTAAGTATAACAGTGCTTAGTGCGTGATCACAGCTTCATAAATATCAGCTTGGTTACATTCCATGACTAACACGTGACCCCATAAATGGATCTTTAGGAAAAGAATCTCAGAAAACCAAGCAAAGCATTTGCTCCACTTCTCCCAATAGACTTGAAATAAATGAAGTAGGTAACACTGACTTTATTTTTGGACTTTGTGTTTGTTAAATGTAGCATGCACAAAATATTTTAATGTGTATGTAAAATGACTTTTTAAGTGCCTTTAAAAATCTCCAAGGTTCTTCCAGCTCCAACGTGTTGTGATCTATGATAACTGATCTGAAATGCATTCGAATTAATCATGACACAATTCCCTCAACATCCAGGACATACATAGCATTATCTGCTCAGGTTGCACTGGAAACAATTAGACCCAGGACGAGGAGTCTGCAGCAGTGCTAAAGAAAATCTTGGCTTCCTTTCACCCTATCAGTCCAAGTCCTCTTACTGCAAATGTGGAATGGAAGGTAAATGTGCTGTAACGTGCAGGCAAGAAAGGGACAAGACCCCACACAGTCCCAAGTGAAGCAGGTGAAGTAAGTAGAGCTCAATGAAAACATCAGCAATTTCGCCTTTTAACTTTACATAAAAAAATCACAGAAGTTTGACTCAGGAAGGAGTCCCCATATGCTCCCTTACAATAGAGATTAAGAAATTAAAGCCTGTAGAGACCAAGCAACAAGTCCAAGGTCAACAAGTCCAGCTTGCACCTAGAAACCCCGAACTGCTGCAACGACCGAGTGCTATGTTCTCACAGTAATAAATGTCTCTTTTTTCACTTCTGGGCGGTTTAGCCCTCTGCAGTCACCCCCAAATCAACCAGCCCGTGTCAGGAAAGCAGGCAAGATTCCTCACAATCCTGAATTCAAGAGAAATGCCTGGCTCTACAAACAAGTTAGTCATGTGGTTCTGCTTTGAGATTCACCCTGATCTTTCAGAAACATGAAGTAATATTACAGGGACAAAGATTCTTCAAAAGTCCAAAGTAGAAGAGAACAAAGCACAAGGAAGAAAAACTTCAGACACATTTGTTTGAAGCAAACACACACACCCAAAACACCTGAAGTGGACATAGCAGGGCCTGTTTCTGATTATTTCCTTAACTGAAACATAAACTAAAACTCCTCTTAAGTAATCACAATTAGAATGATTCTATTTGCCAAAGTACAACACTTGCTTAGTTCTTTGGAAAACCCTTCAAAAACAAAAGTTGTAATTCTGTCCCCTGCTTCCATTTCATATACCCAATGCATCCAATTTACATGCATCCAATGTATGTTCTCTCATATTTATACGCATTCTGCTCTATTGCTGTATTTCACATGTGCTCATTCATTCATTCATTTGGCTCTAGTTCATAGACCCTCATTCACTTCACACCTAAGTACATATCAAGTCACACGTGGACTTGGCCTCATGCAATAAGCACCACAAAAACTAAAGCACACGGTAAAAAGTGCAAAGAGCCTCTAAAGCACCCCAATGAAGCCACTAATCGGGGGGGTGGCTCCAGAGGGGGCTGAAGACGCCCGGGCAGAGGCGTGGAAAGGCGGCCCCAGCTGTGCGACGTGTCCCCGCGCGTCCCCTCGCCCCCACGCAGCCTGTGGGACACGGCAGGGGGTGACCGGGGCGCTGGGCTCCCTAACAGCCGCAGCCCCGTGGAGGAGGGGACTGTCACCCACCGCGGGATGCAGCGGGGAGCGGGAGGCCCGCGGCGGTGACCCCGAGGCGCCTCACCTTCCGGGTTCCGGCCGCCGGCTGAACCCCCGCGTGCCCGGGCCCCGCGCCGGCTCCTCCGGACCGGCGGGACAGAGACCGAAGGCCGCCCGGGGTGGCGCCCGGGAGGAAAGCGCCGAAGGGGCGTCTTCTGCGGGGCCGGGCCCTCCGGGACTGCGCGTCCTGCAGGCCGCCCCGGGAAGTGATTCCTCAACCGCTGTTCCGGTCCCGCCGGGGCAGGACGGTGGGAGAGGCTGCGGGGTCGGGGCGTTAATTACGCAGCGTGCCCAGGGCAAGAGCTGACCTGGGCGGCTTATCTCAGCCAGCCACACGCGCTGGTGCTCACCAAGTGTGCGCTCTCGTATCTTCACCGTGTCATGTTTTGATAAGTCTAAACTCCTCTGCTTAACCAAACTCTTATCAAACACAAAGTTATTTTTGTGAAATACTCTTTCCTGACCACACACACACACACACACACACACACACAGCTTTTCATTTAAAGAAAAAGGAAAATTACATGCTCAGTTTGTTTAAAAAGTACAAAATTTGTTCTCCTACACCCACATACAGTGTCAGCTCTGCCAGGAACTCAAGGGTCCTCACGGTATGGCCCTGATCAACCTTTTCATGAGGGCATCTAAGGTACTGTATCCAGCAACATTGAATTATTTTTTTCCTCAAAGGATTTGGGATAAAGAACAAGTTTTTTGTCACTGCTATCTTTGTAAAATACAATTTCAAACCTGTGTGCAAAAGTGAAAAACAAAAGACATAAAAACTACAGGTACTAGATTTGTTTTTAAAGTATATAAGCTTGCAGCAAGTATAAGATTCTTCTTTTTTTTTTTTTAATTTTTAAAGGCTTACTCTCGATTTCCATACTTACCTCATCATGGAACGAATAAAAAATGGTTCATGGACCAGCTGTGGTGATGGACTTACTGTTCTTCATATGAGATTTTTTTGACTTCTGGAATTTTTTTGTATTATTGCTTTAGTGCTCACCAAAGTTCTTCTCATTCAAGACCAGGCTCATAATGTAATAATAATAGCTTAGCACTGCCCTCTCCAACTGGAGCATCTGTACTTTCTTCTTACTAAAAACTGGAAGTGGAGGTCATTCTTTGTGTTTCCACTACTTCTGTACTTATTTCATGTTATGTTATATTTACATATTTAGATCTATATGCCCTGGACCACAGGCAAGTCACTATATTCCTAGTTACATCACCAAAAATTTTTATTTAATTAACTGCACAATATTCAATAGCACTTAGAATGTACCCCGTACTGTTCTAAGAGCTTTATAACTTCATAAACAACCTTTAGGGTAGATGATAGAGAATGGGCATAGACCCTGTTATAGTCAAAATCAGGTCATGTCATTCCTCTGTTCGAAACCCTCCAGTGACATCCTGTTTTACCCAAAGAACCAATGTGTGTATAGAGACCTGCAAGACACTGCATGATCTAACTCCCATCGGTGCCTCCAATCTCCATGGTTACTCTTCTCCAGCCATATTGCTTTCTTGCTTGCTATTCCTTGTACACTGCTGCCTTAGCGACTTTGTGCGGGCTATTCCTATTCCCTGGGCATCTACTTGATAAACCTTCCTTACTCGCTTGCTCTCAGTTTTTACTCACGTCTCATCATCTCCCTGAGACCAACCTGACCACCTTTTAGTACTGTGACCAGCCCCTTCCCTCTAGCTCCAGCACTACCAATGACTCTTTCCCTTCTCTTGTTATTTTTCCATAGCACTCATCATTTCTCAACTACGTGATAATACTTACATTGTGTACTGTTTGTAAGTCCCTCAAGAACCAGGATTTTGCCCTTTTCCCCATCTTATCTACTGTACCCTCAGTGTCTAGAAGGAGTTCTAGCACAGTAAGTAGGCACTCAATACACAGCTGCATCGTAAATCCTAATAATATTTGCGACTGGGCTGACCACAAAAGCCATAAGGGTAAGGTAAAGGTGACTTGCAGAGACATGTGAGAATAGGGAGGTAAAGTAAGTATAAGGGAATGAGGTATACTCCAGAATCCCAGTCATCCCAGTCATTCCTCCACTCCTGGAGGAAAATAGCAGTAGGGGAAATTATGTTTGGAATAAACTATTTAGCTTATATAAAGAAGCCTGAGATGGTAACATATGTCACCCAAGTCAGAGAAATTTGCATGTAATGTTCAGTGGAGCTGCCTAGTAGTACCTCACATTCCTCTAGCTAGAACTCAGTCATGTAAGCACACTTCCCTGTAGATATAATCTACTTGTGTGCCCAAGAAGAAGGGCCAGTGGATTTACTGAACAATTAGCAGTCTTTGTCACACTTCTTGACCCAGTAATGAATTTCTAAAAATCTATTCTAAGGAAATGATCAGGTTAATTTAGTATAGCAAAACGCTGATAATGCGTCAGATGATTAGTAATACAAGAATAGCTCATAACAATTTTAGTACATTCACATAGTGAAATACCATGCAACAAATAATATATTTACAAATAATTTTCATTACATGGAAAACATCAACATATAGTTTTAAAATTTCTAATATACATTTTAGTGTTTTAATTTTATAAATAAACATATTTATCATAGATATCATATACAGATGGTCCCTGACTTACAATAGTTTGACTTAATCAAGAGTTTTCCACTTTACAATGGTGTGAAAGCCATACTAATTCAGTCAAAACTGTACTGTGAATTTCCAATGTTGACCTTCTTCCAGGCTAGCAATACGCAGTCTGATACTGGACCACAGCAGCAACACCACTGTTAGGGTAAACAACTGATACTTCACAGTGTATTGCATTGACAGCAGCTTTCAGACGCAAGTAGTCAATAAATTTCATGCAATACTCAACATTTTATTACAATAGTCTTGTGTTAGATGATTTTACCCAAGTGTAGGCTAATGGGAGTATTCTAAGCATGTTTAAGGGTAAACTAGGCTAAGCTGTAAAGTTCTATAGGTTAGGTAGGTCCATTTTAGACTCATAATATTTTCAACTTATGATGAGTATATTTAGATGGAAATCCAATGTGAGTCAAGAAGCTTCTGCACCCCCAAAGACATGATTAAGTAAATGATACACTCATTTGTGTATAGGATCCTACGTGATAGGTTCACACAGATTGAAACAGTGGAACAAAACTTCTGTTGTAATGTTGCAGTCTCTGGTAAGACAAAAATGCTTTAAATGATCATAACTATACAAGACAAAACTGTGAAAAAGACAAAAAAGAAATGCATCAAAATCGTAAGTTGTATAATGAGATGAACGTATTTGTTTCTTCTTTTTTCTTGTATGATACTGCCAATTTTTCTAGAAACAGCTTTTATTACTTTTACATTGAGAAAAATTAACTTCCTAAAACAAGCCAATGAGTTGGAAGACATCCTTAAGTAAAGTTGACACTGTGCTTGAAGATGAGAGGGAACCCTGGAAATGGAAGGTAGATGTTCCTTATGTCCTTTGCTTCTCAGGAGAAAAGTTATGAAAGAAGTAGTCACTACACATTGGACCATTCTGGTCTCCTTGAAGGGCTAGTGCAGTATAGGGACCCTTGACCTTAGAGTATGGGGAAGGACAAGGAACGTCATTGATTTGACTGAAACTGAAAGGCACTCAAACTATTGGAATAATGCCAGGGTTCTGGGCTTCCTGCCAGGGCTCTTATTCTGTACTTCTTGTCTTATGACAGAGATTGGTGGTATTGGGAAACAGAATAGATAGTGCATGGCTTTCTCTCAAGATCAGCAAGAAATCTAGTTACCTTTTTGGCTTCATAGAGGTGGCTTGGTAGAGTGGAATAGTAATAGATTAATAGTTAAAAGACCTGGGCTGACTCCGCTACCATGTGGCTGCAGCTCTAGTTCCAATTCTAAACTGTTCGTGGTCTTCTAACATACTACAATACTGGTACTACTGCGGGCAGACAAGACTACTACTGCTGACAGCCCTCAGCTGCTGGCCCTCTTTCAGAATTTCCTTTGTTGCAGGGTTGCCTCATTGATTGAACATTTCCTTACTTCTTAGAACAAAAAGGGGATGTAATGCATTAGAAAAATATGGAGGAAATCAAAATCAGATGGACACTGGAATTGAGTGTGCTGATGCAGTCCAGAGTCATTGAGAGTGATTAATGCATGGTCAAAAGCTAAGTGTGAAAGCTACAGCATTTATCACTTCTCGGCCTTTTGGCTAAGATCAAGTGTAGAAAACTACAACCCTTTTTGGTAGCATATAAAGAGCTTTTCATCTCCTGCACAGGAGAACAGAAAAAGCTTATTAACATTCCTTAATAATTAGAATTTCAAAAAAGATAAAATGTTCAGTCTAAGCAGGTCTGCAATGTACAGGACAATATGCTCCTTTGGGCTATGCTGGGTCTGATAAGGAAAGAAAAGATTATAACAAAGTTCCTACAAGATCTAGGTAATATGTATAGCAGAAGTTCAGAAAATATTATGAGAAGATTGTCCTTAATGATCAGAATCAAAGAGGGTAGAACATAAAGTTCAATAAGGGAGATTTTTCCCTCATGCAAGATTTCATACCTGGCAAGGAACTCAGGAGATGGTGCTACTGTACTGCTAAATTGACACTATAAGAAACTTTAAAAAGGTGATATCCTATATTAAAATAATTATAAATCCTACAACTGCCAAGTAGATGGTATAGGAAGGCCTTAAGAGTTCAAAGAGTTAGATATACAAATAGATTGCCTATGTCTAGAAAGCCAGCCAACCAACCACAAAAAATTTCAGAAGCTCTCTTTATAACAAAGAAGTAAGTATGCACTGATGTGAGAGGAACACTCATGAAACATTCAGAAGTGTTTTGCAGACCAGGGCTGATGATAGGAGGTGGTCTTACATAATTGAGCTCCTAAAGAGAAATGATAGAATTCCAAATTGGTAATGGAGACCAGATAACAGTGATTTTTTTTGTTTGTTTTTGTTTTTGTTTTTCTCCGGTACCAGGAACCGAACTCATGACCTTGCGCTTGCCAGGCAGGCGCTTTGCCGCTGAGCTAAATCCCCAGCCCCAACAGTGATTTAATGTCGGAAAAAGGTGAGTAGAATTATCACAATATAAGAATCATAAAAATAAGATCAGAATGGCACTTTTAAATGTTTAGGATACAAGAATAGTGATCCCCATTACACCTCTACTCAACTTACTAGCTTTGTCCTCTCAAAAATTAAATATAGTTAAAAGATGACAATGCTCCATTATAATTCAACAAGTGGTAGCCTCAATTGAAGATGCTGTTCCATATGACACTGTCATCATTAAGCTTAAT